ATGTCTCAACAGAAATCGAGACTCATCAGACCAGGCAACATTTTTCCAGTCTTCAACTGTTCAATTTTGGTGAGCTCTTGCAAATTGTAGCCTCTTTTTCCTATTTGTAGTGGAGATGAGTGGTACCCGGTGGAGTCTTCTGCTGTTGTAGCCCATCCGCCTCAAGGTTGTGCGTGTTGTGGCTTCACAAATGCTTTGCTGCATACCTCGGTTGTAACGAGTGGTTATTTCAGTCACTGTTGCCCTTCTATCAGCTCGAACCAGTCTGGCCATTCTCCTCTGACCTCTGGCATCAACAAGGCATTTCCGCCCACAGAACTGCCGCTCACTGGATGTTTTTTCTTTTTCGGACCATTCTCTGTAAACCCTGGAGATGGTTGTGTGTGAAAATCCCAGTAGATTAGCAGTTTCTGAAATACTCAGACCAGCCCTTCTGGCACCAACAATCATGCCACGTTCAAAGTCACTCAAATCACCTTTCTTCCCCATACTGATGCTCGGTTTGAACTGCAGGAGATTGTCTTGACCATGTCTACATGCCTAAATGCACTGAGTTGCCGCCATGTGATTGGCTGCTTAGAAATTAAGTGTTAACGAGCAGTTGGACAGGTGTACCTAATAAAGTGGCCGGTGAGTGTATATATATATATATATATATATATATATGTGTGTGTGTGTGTATATATATATATATATATATATATTTATATAGGCTTGACGGAGGTAGTTTTTTTTTAAAGGAAATACTTTTATTCATCAAGGATGCATTAAATTATAACCTGTTGTTTGAAAATATTTATATTACAAATTAATGCAGTTTTTTTTTAACTTTCTATTTAAAAAATCCTGAAAAATTGTATCACATTTTCCCCAAAAATATTATGCAGCACAACAGTTGTCAACATTGATAATAATACAAAATGTTTCTTGAGCTGCAAATCCACATATTAGAATGATTTCTGAAGGATCATGTGACACTGAAGACTGGAGTAATGATGCTGAAAATACAGCTTTGATATATCAGAGATAAATTACATTTTAAAATATATTCAAATAGGAAACAGTTATTTTAATTTGTAATAATATTTCACAATATTGCTGTATTTAAAATTAATTAATTAATTAATTAATGCAGGCCTGGTGAGCATAAGAGACTTTTTTCAAAAACATTAAAGAAGAATTATAACAACCCTAATGCTAGTGTAAAAAGTGCAACTGCAAGGAAACACCCTAGAAAACACCCAGAACACTCTTAAGAATATTTTAAGATATTTTGGAGATATTATGTACATGGAAGCATACATTTCAACCAAATTCATGATAGATGTTTGGGGGAAATATACAGGAATTATTTACGGTTACTGTAAGGAAAGCAGATCAATATTCATGTACGCATCAGCCTCTCCGCCACTGCATGCATATCTATGTTTATATTCCTGTATGTTTACATGAAGAGGTTTCAATGAAGCCGCTGTAATGTGACTTGGCTCTAAGTGTTTCACTCAAGGCTGAGAGTTTCTGCTCACGTCTGTGTGCACTCACTGTCTCAAGGCCCATCTGTCCACTTCTCAGATGCTGCCACACACACCTCCACAGCACACTGTTCATCTGCGTTCATCACACTGTGGCTCGTCAGCATACTTTTGATGAAGAAAACATTGAGAGGTCAGGGATCTCATTAAACTGCTGCTTTGATAAAGACGGCTGAACTGACTTCCCTCTTGCTGGGGAATTTTGCACAGTTTATTTTAGGTATATTGTAGGCTACCACAACAGGCTATACAGACAAGACATAGACACACACATACACACACACATATATATATATTTCTATATACATATGTAAAGATTAATACTTCATAAATTCATAAATATATTTATATACATTTTAAATAAATTATTTATATATATATTACATTTTATTTTGATTATGTATTTGTATATAATATAGTATATAGTGTTAATATTATTTATATATTATTTACAGTAATGACAGCTTATTTATTATTTTATTTTATGAATTATTTATTTATTCATTTATTTATTTCAATTAAGGGAATTCATTAGTAGGTAAATTGTATAATGCAAAAAAAATGTGCTGGCCCTAAAATAAGCTTAATTTTATATAAGTATTTAGTTAATTATATAAAAATCGAATTATAATTTTTTTCATTTGATGATGAAATTTGACATCTTGACTAAGGCCACATTTACATTTACACATAGCTGGGTATTTAGAGAAACGAATACTGTCAGACAGGTTGTTCACGTCACACCTACGTCATCAAGCTCAGTTTGAGCCTGCGCAGTTCGCTCAGCCATTGGTAAGTGAGTGCTTCTAATTGGCTTCACTTTTCTCCGTTGAAATCTATGGGGTCGCTGTGTCCATTTCTTTTACTGTCTATGCGTCTATGATCATAACTATGCCAAACTGGGCAGATTAAACCAGATTAACCATTTCCAATATGTGACAAAATTGATAATGAAATTAAATTATTTCATTTTCATGATGACAGTGCATCATCCCTGTCAAATTGAAAAAATAAAATGCAATTGGTGATTTCACGTTTCATTTTCACTACAATCGAGGCAAGGCTGCCAATATTAAAATGAAAAGGCAAACGTGAAAAGAAACTGCAAATACAGTTTTTACAAAGCTTTTTATTAACACTCACGCAATAATAATGACACAATTCAAATTCAAAAGTAAAGTTTAGTTATCATTGTCAATTTTGTCACAAATTTTGCATACAGTTTTCTGTAATGAAATGGTTAATCTGGTTTCAGTTTTCTTTTTTATAATTTAATTGATTTATTTAATTTTGGCAGAAAATGTCTTGCACAAATGATCACTAGTACTAGGCTAGCAGTTATGGATCTTCTCTCCACAATAATGCATCTCACATGCCTTTTAGATGTTTAGACTGATGTTTTGAAGATAGCCTACTGGAATATTTGGTGAAACATATAAAAAAGTGAAAGAAAATAAATATTACAAGGCATTTACATTGAATATAAGAGTCTGTCTTCATTTAGATTTATTGCTGAAAATGAAGGACGCAGAGGCGACGCCGTGTCAAAGTGCGTTGTCGCCACCACTGGTCAAATTATGAACTGCAAGATAACACCAGACACCGCTTTAGGTCTTACCGTTTGATGAAAAATATTTCTCCTTTACTCAGTAAATGTGCCTCTGTAAACAGCGGCATCCGGGGGTGGTAAGTTTATTGCAAGTTTCAGTCAAGGTTATCGATGTTTAGATCTCTCCAGCTATTGTGTGTTTGAAATTGACTTAATTATCAGTGTAACTTGATTAACTGGAGGAGCTCATTGTAAATAGTTCATCGCTTGTGACAGACTAAAGTCAGTCGTCTCTGCTTGTTTCTGCTGCCTTTGAAGTCCGGTGATATTTCTTTAGACTTTGAAGTCTGTTCAGTAGCCTCGGAGTAAAACAGCTCATCGTCAGCAAGTGCCTTGTTTACTTAGTTTTTCTTGCTTCGACCGGATAATATATTTGGGGAAATATCATTTTCATCTGTTTAATGTTTATGCGTATTTACTGTGCAGTGAAATTAAATCTGAGTTTTCTATTTAGGTTAGGCCTACTACAACTTAGACTTTATGTAATGTACTCTTTTGTATACTCGGGCTTAAGTGTGTGTGTGTGTGTGTGTACTTAAGCTTGAGTATACTAAAAATGACTATATAAAGTCTACACAAAGTTGTCATTCACAATAATATTGTAACTTATATTGACTCAGTTCCAATTCCAAGGCAAAAAAAGAGATACTTTTTATTCTTTAACATTTAATTTAAACCTCCATTATTGCTATTTCTTATATCCTATTTCTTTGTCAATTTTGTTGAGCTTAAAATCTAAATTGTCTCCTGGTTGAAGGATTATAGTATCATCTATTATTATAGTATATAGTCATCAATTATCAAATATATGGAATCAACTGCGTCCGAATGTAAAGTTTAACAATTTCATGGAAGAAAATGTTTTGGTTTGATCATATGGCACGTACTAGCGAATTTTTTTTATTTGTATTTTTTAAAAGAGGTTGCTTTACACAACCATTTGTATCGAAACGTAAATACTGTATATTCATGTAAACAAAACAATGCAGTTTTGCCACTGGGGGTCAGTATGATCTCACTTTCGGACCAGCCGAGACTAACTTCTTGAAAGGTCTATGAAACTGAATTCAGAACTGCATACTACTCTTACTATTTTCACCTTATCTTTTTATGGCAGGAATAGTTATAGTATACAAGTGTGCATTGCATTTCTGAATTCAGCATGAATGACAGAAGCTGAGATAGGATTCTCATGAAAACTTTTAGAATACCAAAACCATAGCCTTAACCAGTCTGGTGCTCCCAATAATAAACTCTGTTCCGCTTCAGTGACCTCAAATAACTTTAGTCAAGGGTGTCTGATCTTTTTAAGGGACTACTGAAAATCTTAATTTGGTCACATACCAGCCAACAGGTATAACTCCTTTGTGAGTAGCACCTGGGTCTCACTGAAAGAAATAGCAATGCTCAATGATCAAGAGAAATGTAGTCTTTTGTTGCTGGTTGGCTGAGGCCATTGATGTGAGAGGCATTGAACTCTGTCTGGCACCCAGATTACAGCACCACTGCTGCTCGGGGTTTCCAGTGAGCAGTTCTGAATGAGAGACCCAGAGACTGAGAAAACAGCGGCGTTCCCACCAGGTTACACGAGGGCATGTTTTCTCCAGCTTCACTCATTAGAACATTTTCACAAGCACCCCGGCGGGTTTGGCGAGAGGTTTCGGGAGGCCGATTTAATTAAAACCACAGTGGGCGGATTTGTACATTCACAGCTTTTGGTGGACACTTGTAGACAAAGATTTTTCTTTTTTTTTCTTATCCTCTCCACTTCCCACCCTTCACTGCACCTTAATACATGAGGACCTTGACTATTTGGGATGTGCATAATACCATACTTATTACCTTTTGTCTCCTTTTAGACAATCAGATATTGGCTTTTGGACAGCTTGTAAGCACATCCAACACTTACGAGGATCACGACCCCAAAAAAGGCAGAAAACCTGTGACGGTCACCACTGACAAGCCACTTTTATGGAGCATGGGAATTAAACGACTGTGAATAAAGCACTGGAGCACCGAGCCTTTAAAAAGTGCCTTTTTTTCAGCACCAACAACCTTTTATTAATGAAGACAATGAGTAGTGTAACCTTTGATTTATTAACAGCCAAATATAAATGTTGACATGCACAAAAAGCATGATTTATACAAATGTTTGCATTCAGTCCATCATCGTTTCCGGCAGCCGCAGGTCTGTTTGGCTTCACAGCTGGTTCAACCACCACTGTTAACAAGAGAAACAACAATCCTGCTTTAATCACTGAGTCAATCAAAGGCTGAATGTAACAAAGCAGCAGATCAAAAGGCAATTTGCACATTATCTTTAATGCTCTGTAGTAAATTACATGTTGGGAGTTTAATGATTTTTTTAACCAACTATTTTTCACAATTATAGCAATAAAAGTCTGAATGACACTGGTAATTGTGTTTTTTGTGTGTGTGTGGATTACTTACACAATGATGTTGTTGATGGGGATGTGGATGAGTTTGACAAAGAATCCAATGAAGCCCATGATGGCAAATCCAATTGCTGTTGCCATGGCAATCTTTTGGAATTCTAGACAGCAGGGGAAACACATAAATTCAGCTTTTTTCATAATTAAAAATTGAGAATAAAAGTAGATGTTAAATATTGTTAATACAAATAAAACATTGTATATAGTCTGAAGTCAAAGTTATTTTAATATCTCTGAAAACAAATGGTCTACATAAACAGACTTGTAATACAAAATAAAAATTTGGAGTTTATTTCCAAGCATGACTTGTTTCACACTCTATGGAAGTTTGTTTCTGCCACATAATTATATATATAAATACTTCAAAAAAAAAATTAACATCATAATTACCTTTTTTGTTATTATTATTCTATAGCAGAAACAAGCTTTCGTAGCTTTCCCCTTAAAACAGCCCCATGCATGTAAAATTTTCTGATTTCTTATCTTCAATTAACTTTTTTGCCCGGTTTCACAGACAAAGCTTAAGCCTAGTCCCAAATAAAATGCATATTTAAACTGTCTTAAAAAAAAGGCACATACATTTTTCCTAAGGCACATAAATTTAAAAAAGTAATTTAATATCTTAATTTAACTCAGGCCTAATCCTGGCTTAATCTAATCCATTTCTGTGAAACCAGGGCTTCATGTTAAGACCTTTAAATATATTAGGTCTAGCATCAGTTTGCTTATCAAATCTTTGAATTTTAAAAGACAATGGACTGGACATGCCTTTTCTATCTGGCTTTGTGCATCTTTTGACGAGTCTGATGGAGTCCTTGACGAACTGCCTGCTGGGCTCCACGAACTGCATGACCTGATCCATCCTGAAGTGATGCTGAAAACAGAACAGAGCATTAACGTTACCTTCACATCTGTGAAAGATGAACAGAGCAAGCACAAGCAGATCACAATCACACATCTGCACTGCTACATCAACATCTCACATAAACCACTTACATATGTTAGACAAGTTTCACGACGTATGAATTGATTAAAAAAAATCGATTTCATCATTTGGTTGATCCTAAATATCACAGGAACCCTCCACCCCGAAACCCAAGTACATGAATCATACGAGCTGAAAACCTACGTTAGTTGATACATTTTATTTTCAAAGGAACCAGTTGTTAATCCCTTAACTAACCACAAGTCTTTAATATCCGAATTGACTAACGTTACTAATGTATGTTACAGCTCGACTTGCTAGCACAGTTAGCCTGAACGCAGCGGACTTTACTCTGGATAAAAACAGCTAAAAATGACTTTGAAATTGAACTAAAAAAACACCAATAAAACATACGCAACAAAAAGAGAAGTATTTTGAAACTCAGATTAAGAAAGTGATCGTATGTGATCAGTCAGAAACAGTGTTTACCCTGAAACTCAACGATCACATCAGACACGTCCTTAGTAAAGACACATAACTCCGTATAACCTTATTTTAAAGCTAAATTCTTTACTTAATACCTATATAGATTTCTAAAGACGCAATGTAGGCAAAAATACACTTACCTGTGTTGATAAATCAAAGGATAAAGCAGTAGTTCAGCTGGATGTGACACACTGATTCCGCTGTGTGTTACGCCACGTAGATTTAACTGAGGAAAGACTGACGCAGCGCTAAGAGCGACGCATGCGCACTGGCTCACAACTCTTGCGCACAATGACGTTCTCACTGCCATCTAGCGACTGGAGTTTAGATCGCAGAGACTTGTCCACATCATTACTGCAGAGAAGACAAGTAGTAGATGTAGACGTTGTGTCATCTAGCCATCGGTCTGTCTGAGGATTGTTCCTGGAATTTACTGTACTTTATTCTCAACAGTTTATCTAAACAATTTACATTTTCATAGCTGCTGATTTTATTTTTAAAATTCCTAATACATTATTAAAATCAAGTATAGGCCTATCTGTTAAAATCATTTAGGCCTAATGGTCCTGAGCTAATAAGAACTAAAAATGAACAACAGTTTAATTTGTATTAACTAACGTTAACAAAAATGTATAAATAATGTAAAAAATGTAGGCTATTGCTCATTGTTATAAATATTGTTAGTATATTCGTGTTTGTAGTTGTAATCAAATCCTTGTCGAACGTGCAATGTGTTGTGGGCAATATTAGCCGTTAGAGTGTGCACAGATCTGCTCTTCAGATTCCAACATGAAAAAGTAGACTATATCATCCGGGTATCTTTGTAATACTCATTTTAACATCCTACAATTTGGGACACACTAAGGCTGAATCCGAAATTGTCCCCTACACCCTCACACAGGGCACTAATTGAGGGGACATGTATAGTGCTGTCCGAAACCATAGTGGACGTTATCAAGTGCACTCATTCAATCCCACTTTGCACACGATGTACACTCAATGGCTGCCTGAATTCGCTCACTCGTTTTCATTCACTCCTTCAAGTGACTTGTATTAGTGGGACTAACGTAGGGAATAGTGATTGAGGGTTTAGGGGGCGATTTTGGATTCAGCCTATTTCTCATTTTGAATAGGCCTACCTACTATTTAGGACGAATAGGCTATGCGAATTGGGACACAGCATTTGCGTTTGCTCGCAAACCTTTTGAGTTCAACGGAGCCCCTAAAAGGACATGGTGGTGGAAATGATATTATGGCTGCATCCGAAATTGCATACTTGCCTTCTATATAGTAGGCGAAAAACAGTATGTGACAAAAGAAGTAGCCTATGTCCGAATAAACAGTACTCTCATAAAGAGTATGCAAAAAGTACCAAGATGACCTAATACTTCCAGCGAGATCCTGAAGTGTGCATATGATGGATACATTACTATTTCATGAGGCCACGGAGAGGATTTATGGCAGTGAAGCGACTTAACTGATGCTGGTGATAATGACAACATGGTGAATGTAGTACATCCAGACTAACTACTACACACTCATACTATATAGAATCTATATAGTAGAACATGCTTTTTTAAAAGTTGCAAGGTAATTACTCATTCAAAAATAAGTACCTACTCAAGAGCTATGCGATTTCGGATGCAACCTATAATACTATTTCATTTTTTTTTCCACCACCATGTCCCTTTAGGGAGTGGTTCCATGCTACGAGAGATAGCAAAATGGCAAATATCCTGAGAAAGCTCATTAAATAGTTCTGGCATGAAACTCTAAATGGCGGAAGCTGATAAGTCTTTAACTCATTTGGTAGCGATCAAATCATTATCTACATGGCACAACTGATTGGTTGCTGTTGCATCAGCGACCAATGAGCTGCGGCTCAACATTCAAATAAATACCGGGGTGTTGCTGGTAGGAGTATGCAGCGCGCTTTCAGAAACCCTCCACCTTCCCCAGCTCCACCTGTATAGATCTGCTATGGGGGTTAAATCATGTATGTTACATGTGCAGCAGCAGCGTAGCAAATCTATTCCGCCAAGACCAAATACATTAACATTGCCATATCCGTTACCATGCCAATCTCTATTACCATACCAATCTCCCGAGAGATGTCATGACAGAACTGTGGATATTACAACAGCTCTTCAGCAAAACAAACAAACAAACAAAACCAAAAGCAAATTCATAAAATAAAAGGATTTAATAGACCAAAATACATTTATATTCATAACATGTCTATTGAAATTATAACAGCACAGCCAAGGGCATTAGAAAAAGAGTTTACAATGTACAATATAAAACAGTGCTGATTCAGTCATGCATTGTATGAATACTACAGTTTCCATTATCTATGACATTAGTACAAAAGCTTTCATTTGCGCTCGTATAAGAGTGTCACTGAGAGGAGCGCTCGATCAGTCCCATGTAATGCTGAGCATCTGACAGCTGAGTTCCCAGAGTTTCTGAGCCATTTCATCATCTGAAGCTTCTCTTGAACACTGTGCTGGGCCACAGTCACTGGAAACAAAGTTCCTCAGGTTTAGTGATCATTAATACAGCTATAATAATATCTATTGCATGTTTAACCTAAACACATTTTATTATCTTACAAACCTAATGCAAATGAATATGATGTGCATATAGGGACGTGAAAATAAATAGGAATTCTATAGTGCAGTTTATTTTTCATAATACTTTGCTCTGTACCTGTAATATCCTCCACTCTCATTGTCCAGCTCCGGCTCCACAGCGCAGTAGATGGTGGTCTGCGCCCCCTGAATAGTGGTCTTGGTGAAGGGGCTGAAGACCTTGACTGCGATCTGCACAGGCTTGCTGAGGTTCCTAAACAGCTCTGACTGCACCACACCAGGATGGAGGGAGTACACAGTCACACCACTGCCTAGGAACATGAATCACAGAATCACAGATTACACACACCTGCGTAAAACAACTAAACCAATGATTAATACAGTTGGGTTTTCTTTTTTGGTATACTGCGTGCTATTTGAACAGAATTATTTTAATAGAAATTCGTCTAGGATTAAATCCTTGAATAGCCTACTTGAAAATTATACCTTTATTGCCTGCATGTAAACTACGAAAACGCAAATTTGTAAAAATGACGACGTCCTGCGCATGCGTATTTTTCGTAAAAATTATGTATGGATAATCAGGTAAACCCAAGTTACTTCAGTCTAGTAAGGGTTCATCTTTAAATATTAACATAAAAGTTATTCTTACATACAAGATAAGTAATATCGCTCAGTTGAATGCGGTAGTTCACTATTAGCCAATAACTACTATTTCTTTCATACCTCCCAAAGGACCACCAAGAACTACAGGTTTAAAAAAAAAAAAAATGTGAATAATGCATAATGTATAGTTAATTCTAAAGTGAAGATCATGGTAATCCACTAGTAATGACTGAATTATTACAAAATCCATAGGAAGGAGTTACTATCCAAAATCTTACAAAAATGTAGAAGAAAAAAAATCCAAAGCTTACAATGACTTCAGTAATTACTGGAGAGTTAGGCTTTTCACTTTAGAACT